CGCGGCCGTGACGGCCGCGACGGCGGCGACGGGCTCCAGGCAGAAGCGCCGCGCCGTCTCGACGATGGCGCGCTCGAAGGACCGCGGCACGTTCGCGGCCCGCAGGGCCTCGCCCGTCGTGCGCAGGGCCAAAGCCACGGCCTCGCCCATGGCGCCGCTTTCGACGCCCCGCGCGAGGCCCTCGAGGCCCGCGTCCTTGGATTTGCTCGAAGGCGACAGGCGGTCCTCGGGGACGACCAGGGCCGCGCACCAGGCGAGCGCCATGGCCTCGCCCTCGGACCGCGCCTTGCTCGAGGAGCGAAGCATTTGTTGTCGAGGGCGCTCAAACGGTGGGCATACTCCGGTACGCGGCGCGGTGTCTGGGTCGAGGTTGACGTTGTCATTTCACTCAGCAGCCCGTCCGGCCTGACCCAATGGTTCGTGCTCTCGACAATCGAGAAGGAGGTGCCCACCATCGTCAGCCAGTCGTTGTCCCAACGCTCGTCCGACACGCGATGCCGCCGCCGCGGAACCTCGAGCGCGAAACGGATCGCGACGCGCCGCTCCTCCCGGAGGCGCCGGACGGGCTGCGCGCGCCCCTCGACTCGACGGCGTCGCTGGCGCTGCTCGAGCTCGGCGCGGACTTTTGGCGCCGCGCGCTCGCCGTGGACACGATCGCGCTGCTGGAGGAGCTCAGAGGAGCCCCTCGCGCGCTCGTCGACGCGCACCCCGGCGACTTCGTCGTCGTCCGCGAGGCCGTCCGCGTCGCCGCGCTCGCGTCGACGCACGCGGTCCGCCGGGCGGCCGGGGGCGCGGCCTTCCACGCGCGCGGGCCCCGACGCGCCGCGTGCGATTAGTGGCGGCAGGGGCTCCCGGGTCCCGCGTCGAACGCGCGGAACCTGAAGACGAGCGCGCGGAGCCCGCGGAGGGGCTCGAGGAGCTCCGGGTCCGAGCCCGGCGCGAGGGCGCCGTCGGCGGAGCGCTCGAAGACGCGGCGCTCGCCGCGGCGCTCGTAGGCGACGCGGAGCGCGAGGCCCGGGTCCGCGGCGACGGCGGCGGACACGCGGCGCCGCAGCTCGACCCAGGGCGTGCCGAAGGGCTCGAAGGCCGCGGGCGCCGGCGGCCAGCCCGGCGGCGGCCACGCGGCCGCCGGCGGCGCGATGTAGAACCCGGACACCGCGCCGCTCCGGTCGAGCGCGTCCGCGGCGGCCGGCGCGAGCCAGCGGCCGAGGTCGACCTGCATGCGGCGCACGGCCGCCGCGTCCGCGGCCGTCACGACGACGCCGTCGGCCATGGCGCCGCCGCCGAGGTCCAGCGCCGCGAGCCGCTCGGCCGTGAAGAGCCAAGTGGTTCGACGCGCCGCCCTCGACGCGCAGTT